GGAATATTTTGAGGTTTTTCTCTTTATGAGGCCAAAGGGGAATGACACACAGAGTAAATGCTATGATGTGGTGTCTTGCCTATGTGAAGTAGAGTCTTTGGGTGAAAAGGTTGAATTTTGCAGAACCAGTGAAGGATTCTGGTCTAAGATGATGTCGCCTTTACCAACAAAGGCCAGGGTGAGATCAGAATGTAGTTTTACTCTGTGACTGTAATCTGATGTGCAAATTTATAATCACTCTTATTCAGGTTTAGAATAATAAATACACATTAGCAATGCTATACAGAGTGGTTCTTAGCCTCCTTGTACTGTGTTTTAAGAGAATAACTGAAAGGCGAGCTTGAAAAAATCAAGGATCTTCTCCAATTGAAGTAGAGAGGAAGAATGACATGGTGGCTTTGTCTTCAGACTTGGGAACCAGAATGCCCAGACCCCAAACGTGTCTTCTCTAACTATTGTTCTTGAGTGTGTAAGAGTTAACTTTTGTGTACCTTGGTTTCCTCATCCAAGAACTATGACAATCATGGTAATTACTTTTAGAGTTTATTTTTAAAGATAAAGTAAGTCAATGCCTGTAAGGCTTAAAGAGAACACTAGATGTTATGTAAATGTTAGTTATTATAAATCTCACATCTATGTACTTACATTTTAATTCTGGCTTTTAAATCAAGAATGCAGGAAAAATTTAAAAACCTATCTTATATGTATCTTAGTTTTCCTGTTACCTGTCTTAAAGTCCTAATTGATTTTTAAAAAATCACTGCTTTAAGACTACCAAATTCAATACTAAATAAATATTTAGGATTAACAAACATCTACTTGAGACTTTCTGTATGTACTAATTCCCCAACATGATAGTAATTGTAATGTAACATGAACATACTATAATAAAAGGGAAACTTAACAAAATTTAAAAATCACTCACAAGTAATATTTTCCTTCCTCTTGGTCACTTTTTCCTCAGTAGGGTAAAGCCAGGGAGTGGAAGATTCGTTAAGGTTAAAGTGATCTAATGTGAAGCCACAGTGAGGAGGATAGCCCAGTACCAAATGTGTAGACAGGGAAGTAAAACGGACTGGGATCTGGGTAGTTTTAGATGTAGAGGATCCATTCAGGATCTGTTATTAAAGAGGCTTTTTGCCTGGCTGGAGAAACAAATGTAATATGATAAAACATTCTTTTTTGTGAATTCTGTGCCTGAATTCTGTGACAATGTTATGTACTAACTGCATAATAGTTGATGAGAAGTCATTTAATCAGCTTGTGGTTGAACAAATCTACCTTGCCTTGTTCCAACTTGCAAAATTCTCCACAAGGGAGACTGCCGCAAACTGGGAAGGTGGTACTTTGGGTTGAGTGCTGGGATGGTAGGGTCGTTACACTGAGTGTTGTCTGGAGAGACGGAGCCAGGAGGATGAACAGAGAGAACAGAGAGCCTAAGTCAACAGGCGGAACATCAGCAGCACGCTCCAGTAAGGAGTTCAGTCGGTCCATGAGGAAAAGCGTGCTTACTTGACACCACTGTGAGTAACATCCGGGTGGCTTCAGATTGACCTTGTAGCAGGAAGACGCCGAGTCAGGGCAGACCAAGTAACACATGAGGTTGAAATCCGCCATCTTCTCTATTTTCAAGGTCTGCATTGCTCTTGGTCCATCCATGTTGATCATTTCATTTCTCCTTAAAACACAGCAGCAAAGCAAACCACATAACAAAGAGACTGTATCATTATGAACACAAAGAAAAGCCTAAACAGCGGGCTTTGAGAATTACAATCATTCATCAGCTTATTAAGAGGGATCATGGGAACTTTTCCTCAGTGAGGTTTTTTTTTTTTTTTTTTTTCAAAATATAAAAGATGTTAGTCTACCTCACCTCCTTTTAGTAGTTATTCTTCTCTACTGAGTTTACTGCTCTCAGCATCCTGACAAGCTCCAAAAATAATGACTTATGCTGTGTATTGTTAAACGTTCAGTCAGACAGATAGATACAGATGGATGAGTGCTATGTTGCACAAAGACAAGTCAGCATTATTTAATCAATGTTTGTTTGATCCGTGTAAAACAAGTATAAATGTAAGCTGTATCCCATCTGTTTTATCATCCATGTGAAGCCAGACTCATTTTTAAAATGTGATTTCTTATGTAATTGTCCCAGAATGACACAGGATGATAAGTTGGGAAGAAATATTATTCAGAGTGGTCAGATAAAGGAGAGTCATGTTTAGCTGTGGTTTCACATATTGGGCTTCTTTCTTTCACAGTGGGTAGCTTCCTGGGTAGTTAAGTGGCACTGTGGCTTATTGATTGCTAGCTGGTAATTATCAGCTGAGCTTTGGACTCAGACAGACCTGTGTTTGAGGGTAGCTGTCTGAGTCTAGCTGTGCGAGTTTAGCCGAATAACCACCAAGAAACACGGTCCCTGTCACGGAGAAGGCCCCCAGCAACCTATATTGAATTCATTTTTCTTTACTTGAATTTCCTCCTTTTAGTGCAGTTTCCCAAATGCAATAAAATAATACCAACCTCAACAGTTGTGACAGTGAAATGATACTACATGGAAAGGATAATAACTTGGCAGTTATTTTTGTAATTATCCTGGTGTATTTTTAAGTCACATTCTAAGATTAAGCATATTAGCAATGTACAGTGCACCTCATTTTCCCATGACCAGTTCAGTGTTGGTAAGCTCTTCAGTGTTGGTGTCCAGTAAACTGTGTAGAGGGGTGAGAATGTGGGGTAAGAGTAAAAATGGATGTGATTCACAGTGCCTTTGAGTTGAAAGATACAGTTTCCTTTTTGAAATGAAATACGTGCCATTTATTCACCTGTAGGTGATGTTGGTCTGAGTAAAGCAAAGCTATCAGAAGTACTAATATCTTCTACCAAAAGCACTGGATATTCATAAGCTTAAGAGCTTCCCGGAATACTTGAATAATGTGTAAAAGGCTTGTGTACGCACTAATATTCATTAGTGTAAAGTGAAATAGCAGTGCAGTTGTCTCAGGATTATGTAATTATTTCCTAAACTGTACTTTGAGGTCCTATATTTCTCTAGCTTCCATGTCATATAGAAAACTACTCTGTGGTTTCTCATCATGAGCCTTTGTAGTCACCAATTCCATTGATTTAAAAAATTATAGAACCAGTTACATAGGCAGGTATACTCTAGGTACACAGGTGGCTAAAGCTGCGAAGATCAGGCTCTGGCTAAGGAGTTTAGAATTTGAGCTGCAAACCCACCCAGGGGCAGGTGAAATTCTTAAATAGGAGCCTAACACACACCTGCCCTTCAGAAAACATCTTGGAGTAATTGATAAAATGAGAGGTTTCAGTTAGACAATAAATACTAAAGGTCTGGACTCAGGGAATGCCAGTGGGTTGGGGAACAATTTGAGATATTTTTCAGGGAGTTCACTGAGTGGAACTGTTCTAAGTGAACAAGGTTCAAGGTTGACTTGAATGCATCCTCCCAGACAGCTGAGCCTTTCCTTCAGTTACTTTAGATCATGGAATATGTGGGAAGGATTGTGTTTCCCAGGGGACGTGATATGTTTCCCTACAACAAACTTTAAATTCCGTAATAACATTCTTCTTTAGACTATACAGTCATGGGTAATTATTTTACTGAGTACTATTCAATGGTTGAGTCTTTTGTAAATGTAGAATTAACACAGGCTGAGAAATGAAAAAGTTTATATTCCTTCTTAAACTAAGTATTGCTAAAAATAGTGTGTTAGGAGGCCATTCAAGACTTTTAACAGACTTGGCCATTTATACCTGTGAGTTTTATGTTGTGCTGGACTCCATGCCTTTTACCAGGATGCATGTCTCTCTATATACACATGACAGCTGTTTTGTATGTCTTCCTTTCAATTCCTACATAAACACATAGAAACATGTAAAATACCCTGCATCAAAAGTAACTGTTAAATATTCTATCAACTTCTGAAGAAATGTTTACATTGAACTATACTTATTTTATTATTATTGAAATTTTCATTCCAAACATTTAAAAATCACATTTATACAATTATTCAGCTCATTTTCTCATGTACCATGAAATTGAAAGTCTTAAGGTGTCACTATCTATGATGAAAGGAAAGGTGTTTTAATTTCTGTGCCATTGCTGCAAATTAAGAAGTCACCTAGAGTTTTGTAGTCAGTGCTGAACACGATCTTGAAACAACAGTTTAACTATAAAAACGTAAGCTTTCTATTGCTAATATTTTACATTATTCAATAGTGATGGCTGCATTCTGACATCAAAGAAAGATGAAAAACAAGAAAAAGTAAGATTACAAAAGGAATAAAATGCAAACAGTGCACATAATGATAATAATAAATGGATAAATATACTGATATATAGAAAAATAATTACTCTGCTGTGGATTATAAATTAATACTTTGAGTATCATAAATATTTGACTTCACTTCTTCTTCTTGCTGTTATCACTATCCGAATTGCATAGCTACCTGGGATATTGACCATAGTGTGTTATGAAGAGCCAGACACGTCCTTAATCATGAGCGTGTAGGTGAAGAAACCACAGCATAGCCTGTTCCCAGTGCCGCTGCTGAAAGATCGCACAACCTCAAGACTGAGCTCAGCTTAGATAGGAGCCAATAGGAAGAATAATCAACATAAAACAATGTTCACAGAACCAGAAGGAATATTGAACCACAAAAACCTGTAAGCTGCAGCAACAGAGATGGAAATGGAAAAGTAAAAAGAAAAACTTGCCTTTCCAATATTAGCAGAGTATTTATATTGATTTTTTCCCCCCATTGGAATCAATATTGGTGACTATCAACTGTTTCTTACTATGATTAATCTTTGTGTGCTATGCTGTTTATATTGGTGTTCATGTTCACAGCTAGAATCATCTTGATGGAGTATGGCTTCAGAATTTTCTTTTCAAACCGTGTTTGTTACTGTGATAAATGCCTATAATTCTGTGTTATTCAGTATTGATTTTGTGTGTGCTGTTTTTCTTTTCAAGTCAATTGACCCTGGCCAGCAGTTCACATGGGAGCATTCAAACTTGGAAGTAAACAAACCAAAGAATAGATATGCAAACGTAATTGCATATGATCATTCTCGAGTTCTCCTATCGGCAATAGAAGGTAAGGACATGAAGGTGTTACTCTTACTTTCTTGGCATTAACTCCTTATATGAGATACTTTTACCTAGGATATTTACCAACTATGAAACTAGGTACCTAAGAATCACGTATATTTATTCTCTTTCTCACACAAATACATTGTAAACAGCAGCCTAGTGTCATGGACAGCATAGCACACAAGAGCGTTGCTCATTACCCCATTGCTTAGATGGAGGAGCTGATTATGTAATCGGTGCTCTCAGATGGAAAGGAAGTTGGCAATGCTCAGGTTATTAATGGTTGTTGATGGTCGTGCATGAACTGGTGATTGTCAGAAGGGGAGCATAAGCTAACTTTATTGAAAAAGTAGGGAGGAGATTATTTCTTTGTAAATCAATTCGTATATTTCCTAGGAAGAGTGTAAAGGTTAAGGTTGATATGGTGATTCATATGAATGAAGCACGTTGGGAATGTCCCCACATCCCTAATCCATGGACTGCTCAGGATTCCATCTCACCGCTGTAGCAAAGAGTGTTTTCTAGAGGAAATGATGGGTGAGGGTTCCTCTCAGACCGACGTAATTTCCCTTAAGGATGTATGAGAAAGTTTTTACTTGCTTCTCTCCGATAATAAATCCCTTTCACAGGCCATATGAAAACATCTAGGCGTCATCCTTAGCACTCCATAATTTGCGAATGTTTAGCACGCTGGATTGAAAAGTCTTTAGAAAATAGCTTACAGGGCCACTTAAATCCCCGCCCCTGTGCAGGAGCAACCAGGCTGAGCTACTGGCTCTCACGGAACCTGTTCCTCCTTCCCAGTGTGCAGGGAAGCTCTCTACGTTTTTCATACTTGAAGCAGCCCTGTGCATCCCCTTGGAGATGCTGTATAAAACATTAAATAAAGCTAGCTTCCAATCCAAGTCTTTGTAGGACTTCATAGTTTAAGCATTTTTAGCTTTAATTGTTGAAGTACATTTCCCCCTTCTCTGCTTCCAAACTTGATGCTGGCAACCACTTTATCTCTCCAACCAAATCCTCTCTGACTTCATAGTGTCCAAAATTAATTCACAATTTGGAACACTACTTAAAAGCTTTTCTAGCAAGCACCAAAGGCAGCAAGACATTGTTTTCCAGATTTGGGAGGACAAGAAATATCTTTCAGCATTTGAGCAAGCTCAAAATGGTATTATAAGGTTTCGATATACTTCATAAAAATCCTCACGATCAATTTACTTTGATGATGAGCAGTGTTGCTATTCTCTTTTAGGTGACCAAAAGTACTAGGTATTTGAGAGTTACCCTACCTTTACACTAAAGAAATTAAGTTCATCAGATTTAACCAGCGTTCATTCAGACAGGATGGTGTTAGATGATATCTTCTTTTTAATCTTGTTTAGAAGCTATAAGTAATATATTTGCACGGTTCGAATATAGGCTTTACAGTTTACCTCTACTTTTTCACTTTTAACATATACCAGAATAGCAATTTTTTGACTCAGGGCTCTAAATAAGTAATAAATCCAAGTAACAAAGAAGAGAAATCTTATTTCTATTAGCAAAGTAAGGCAAATTATAGAAATTAATAAATGAATGTAAGCTAAGAATTTATTTGGCATAATGTTTTCTCAAGAATTTAACAGCCTACCTTTGCTATAGTATAGTGTTATTTCCACTCAAAATTATATCATTTAGTACTACTACTTCTTTATTCAGCTCATGAATGCTTTTGTTTGCAATTTGGTTCACAAGCAGAAGTGTTCGCAATATTTGGCTTTCATTTGCAAACTCCGCATCAGGTGGCAAACACAACCCTGACCATCTTTCTCACACAAACACAAATATGGCCATCTTTTCCAAAATTGTAGAACAAATTCAGTTCATGAACCAAGGTACCACTGTACTTTTGCCACTCTGATCTTACTTTCTTTAGTTTGTTCTTTCCTACATCTGAACAGTACAGTATATTGAGGGACCAAAAACTAACCTCCTTACTGACAAGTGGAAACATGACCATTTTATTTGTGTGCTATTTTAATCATATAGAAGCAAAATCATTTGAATCAAGCTAAAGCTTGCCTTTTATATTTCTATGCCTACAAATTCACTCTAAATCTAGAACTGACCTAGAAACCAAAAGCCTTTCCATTTGAAGTGTCACGCAGAAGGTTGGAAGCATTTAATTGAAGTTCATGGGCTACACAGACAGCTTTAATCTAGATTACAATCCTGAAGAGCATTTTATCTTAGATGAATGCCTGGCCAGGTATGGAAGCCAGCTGTCAGTCATCCTACGTCTCAGTCCCTGAAAAGAGAATGCCAGCAAGTGCCCAGGAGCCTGCTCTACAAGAAGCTTTGATAGCGAGGGGCCAGTGTTTTATCATATTCAAATGTGAAGTGCCTTTCTGCACAGTTTAAAATGTGGAAGCAACTTTTACCCTATTTCCTTTGTGAAGATGACAGAGGGAAAAATAAAAAGGAATAGAAACTGTCTATGGACATCAACGTGCTTATTGAGCTTCTAGAAAATCATGACACTTTGCTTCATGACATGTTTCCAAATCACACTCACTTTATTTATGCTGAGAAAAATGCAGGGTTCGTGCGTTATAAGCACAAAGGCTCTTCAAATTGTCAAATTATAAGGTAAGCAGTATAGTATAGAAACACAAATGAATTTTTGACAAATCTAATCACTATTGGAATACTCTTCATGTTTAAGCAGTTCCTAAGAGAAAATAGTCGTGGCTGAGCAAGAGTTGTGACAGGATTTATTTGAGTAATTTAAGATAATTATTCTCAAATAAAGACCAAATGGAAGCTAATATTTGTATGTGTATAAATGCATAATGTTAGGTCTGATAAAAAGTATCGTGTGTTTAAATTTTAAAAAAGTATTATAGTAAAAGACACATTACCATTAACCTCCTAAAAAAAGGCTCCAGCTAGCTCTGAAAATACTTATCTCCTCTTTCAGGCCATTTTCTGTGCATTTCTGTAAGTTTTCTTTTTTTTTCTTTTTTCCATGAGTGTCTTAGTTCCTTTCCTCATTGTTGGGACAAAGTACCCAAAACCCGCAAATTAAAGGAAGAAAGCTTTATTGTAGCTCATAGTTCGTGCAGGTTGTGGTTCACAGTCTGCTGTGTGTAAGGCAGGGCAGTAGGGAGAACCGGTACCACAGAGGAAAACGGTACAGGACGTGGCAGGCAGAAGACAGCAAGCAGCCACCTGCCATCTGCCAGAAGCCAGCCAGCCTTTCCTTTTCATCTCATCTAGGCTACCAGCTTTTTGGGTAATACCACCCAGAACTATGCTAATTCCAATCAGTAGACTAATATAGCCCCACGTACCCCTGATCCCAGTATCACACACACTAGCTCCAGCCAGCTCCGAGAAGCTCCATCTATGAGAGCATGAGGCTTTGGGGGGACATCTACATGCAAGCCATAACACATGAGTATCTTTAGTTGGTGCCCTCCTGGCTGCCTTGATGTCCTGAACTGATAAATATGTTTACCTTCTTCATGGTCATTTGATTTGGGGAAAGAGCCAGAAGTCACACAGTGCCATATCCCATGAATAGGGCGGATGAAGCCACACCATAATATTTTGATGAGCCTTGAACAGCATACACTGTATTTTTTATTGTACTTTTTAAGACAGTCATGAAGGAAGACTTCAACAACTGCTTCAGAGAGTGCCCAGAATGATGAGGTAATCGTATTCAAGTGAGGGGGAATGTGTTGAGGGCAGTTAATGACAGTGTGTCATTGTAATGATTTTTTAAAATTTAAACATTCACTGTTTTGTTGATCACCCTGTGTATCATAATATGTTTATTCTTACAATATGCAAAATAATTCAGAAAGTACACTTTTTCATATGTATATTTTTTATTAGTTCATATGAATCATACAGAATGAGTTTTATTGTAGCATTTATATATATATATATATATATAATTCTTTGAATTCACCCATTCCTTTACCCCGTCTTTACCTTCCCTTCTCCCTCTGCCTGAATCATTTCCTCTTTTGAAATAATTGCCCCTCAAGAAGGTATACTTTTATTAAAGCAGGAAAAGAGAGAACAGATTGGTGAAAGGATGAAAAACAAGGAAAATCAATTTTGGAGCATATTTCAAGCCCTAGGTAGCTAGGTTACCATGACTTTTCTGAGTATTAACTTTCTAAGCTCTAACCTCTTTCATTCCTGTCTTCTAAAACTTACCTTTAGGTACGTTGGATATCAGTTATTTTATTGACTGTGTATAATCATCACATGATGCGCCAGTATAACTGTTTTACTTGACTTTTAAGTAAGATATTTAATATGTGATAGATATTAGAGATGAGAAAACAAAAGCTCAGATAGAGAATTGGCTCTGAGTTGCCTCCTGTAAAAATAATAAGGTCTGATGTAGCTCACACTGGAATCCAGCTTTTCTGATTCCTCTTCAAGGGCTCCCATTCGCCCACACCTTTAGTGATGCTTTCTTGTTGATAGCGGAGGCACCTGTCCCTAAGTCACTTAGTGTAGATCCAAATACTCAGCATTATCCTTTTGCCTAAAAATCCACTTTCTCATTGGGCAGTAAGCTTATGAATGATATGAACACTACAACTTGAATTTCATTTCCTAGTGTATGGTCTCACTAAACTGAAACTTGTCCCTGATACAAATGCATCAGAGCCACAGCACTGCAAAGGGAGGCCCGTGCATCTGTACTTATTTATGTGGGTTGTGTGTATATATATATATATATATATATATATATATATATATATATAAATTGCTTTTTTTGTATCTTCAATTTCTTTATTTCCAAGAATATTCATTAGTGGCAGGTTATTCATCATAATGCCTTATAACTAGTTAAAATTAATTATCACAGTCTGGAATAAAAAAGATTTTTATCCTAAAATTAATTACTGCTGACAGTGCTATACTTTCATTAGTAGGATTATAATTAACATTTCATTTAAAAAAAACATATTGGCATGGATTGGTAAAAAGTTTTTG